GAGGTTTTGAAAAGCAGAAATTGCAAAATTACGTATGTTTAGTTAGTAGCTGGGAGTTAGATATTGATCAAATAAGAAGATAACTAGGGCTCCTAGGAGATAGTTGCACTTATCTCTTCAACAAAAGTGACAAGGGGGCTGGGAACGTGGCTCAGTGGTAGAGCGCTTGTCTTGCATGCCTGAGGCCCTGGGTTTGATTCCTCAGCACCACATAAGCAAAAAGAAAAAAGCCAGAAGTGGTGCTGTGGCTCAAGTGGTAGAGCGCTAGCCTTGAGCTGAAGAGCTGAGGGACAGCACCAAGGCCCAGAGTTCAGGCCCCAGGACTGGACCCAAAAAAAAAAAAAAAAAAAAAGTGACAAGGGGGTTCATGACCTAGGTAGGTTGTAAAACTGGGTATCATAGTTTAACAATTTGCTTGGGAAGTGTATTTACTCTTTAACTCCAGATTTTCCCTTATCATGAAACTCTGCATGGCCCTTTGCTGTAAAACTGGGGTCAGGGCTCTGTTCGGTACTTCAGTTTGGGCTTATGCTATTAGTTTTAAGGGGGAAATCAACAGAAGTGGTCCCTGGTGAATAAAAATACCAACAAAGGCAGGGCCAGCCACAGTCAAGGCAAGTTTACACCCTCAACCTACTTTCTTTCTTCCCTTTACTTGGCTTCCTACTGACCACATTAACTCCTCTCCTCAAGCAAAGCAACTCCCTTCCTTTTATCAAAATCAATCTGAAGCCAGGCATTGGTGATTCACACCTGTAATTTTAGCTACTCAAGAGGCCTCCATCTGTTTAAAGCCAGCTTGAGCAGACAAATCTGAGAGACTTATCTCCAAATAACTAGTAAAAAGCCAGAAATGGAGCTTTGGCTCAAATAGTAGTACAGTGCTTGGGTCAAGCCAAGGAAGAATTCGAGATTCTGAGTTAAAGCTTCAGCAAACACACACACACACACACACACACACACACACACACACACACACACACACACACACACACACACACACACACAAATTAATCTGGCTCATGTTCCAATGTTCCAGGTCCTAGATCCATTAACTGAATTATCTGTAATACTTTTCTCCAAGATAATGATTGCATTCACCTTTCATGCCTCCTATTCTTTACTTTTATTTAGGCCATTTCTTTCACCTAGATTGTTCTATTTATACCAACTTCCTAGGTCAGGGAAAAGAAATCTCCACATTTCTGTTCCCTTTTTACTATAAATACATCTTGCCTGGCAATGTCAATTAGCATTTTCTTTCTTTGTAGTTGTTACTGTATTTTTCTTATGTGTGAAAGATTTTTTTTTATTGGTGGTACTGGGATTTGAACTTAGGGCTTTGCATTAGCTAGGTATAGACTATGCCACTGAGCCAAACATCTAGCCCTAACTGTCTGAAAGATTCTTTTTTTTTTTTTTGGGGGGTCCGGTCATGGGACCTGAACTCTGGGCCTGGGCGCTGTCCCTCAGCTCTTCAGCTCAAGGCTAGCACTCTACCACTTGAGCCATAGCGCCACTTCTGGCTTTTTTCTTTTTGCTTATGTGGTGCTGAGGAATCGAACCCAAGGTCTCTGGCATGCAAGGCAAGCACTCTACCACTGAGCCACCTTCCCAGCCTCTGTCTGAAAGATTCTTATAGAATCAACATGTTTCTTTTCTAACTCCCCACAAAAGCTTACAGAGTTCTTAGAACACAGGAGGGACTTTATAAATCTGTGTAATTAATTACTGCAAGAATGACTCTAATATACCAAATGTCATGCAGGATAACAGATGAGCCACAAGGATGTGATTCCCTGGGCTTTGGCCTCTTGCCTTCCAGACTCCACATCTCAGCACAGGTCACAAAAGCCAGTGTCTCTGAAGATCCCAGATGTTCTTGCTTCAACTGTTTCAGAGCAGAAGGACAGCATCTGCTAGGTGTATCACACACGCTGTAATTCTTCTCTGGCAACAGTCCTGACACACCTATCTCCACAAAAGACTTTTTACAGCATTATGATAATAGCAACAAAAGAAGGAGGGAAACATCACGTGTTCATCAATAATAGAATGAATCAACTATGGAATAGGCAGACAATGAAATATTTTGCAATATTTTACAATTGATATTTCACAATATCAGTTACAAGTAGTAGCACAGGTAAACCTCATAAGATATTGAACACAAGAAGCTGGACATAGAAGTATATATCATATAATTCCATTTGTTCCCAGACAAGACTAACCTGTGCTATCGAAGTCAAAAATCATGGTCATACCTAGAACAAATTATGTTAAGTGAGGTAAGCCAAGTTCAGAGAGACAAATGGCACATGTTTTCTCTCATATGCAGAAGCTAGGTCTAAAATACACCAGGACATAATAAATTATAAAGGTCTCTAGATAGTGAGACCAAAGGAGAATACTCAGGAGAGGAACAAAAAGGCACAATGTCTATGCACATCTGATCATACAAAATAATATTTATCTTGATGAACCAGAAAATGTAAACAAAAAGGTCCTTATTCCTATTTTGTTATTTTTTTCTTTTCTTTTCTTTTCTTTTGGGGGGGGTCCGGTCGTGGGGCCTGAACTCTGGGCCTGGGCGCTGTCCCTTAGCATTTCAGCTCAAGGCTAGCGCTCTACCACTTGAGCCACAGCGCCACTTCCGGCTTTTTTCTTTTTTTGCTTATGTGGTGCTGAGGAATCGAACCCAGGGCCTCAGGCATGCAAGGCAAGCGCTCTACCACTGAGCCACCTTCCCAGCCCCTTTCTTTTCTTTTTGTCTTGTTTGTTTGTATATATGCCTTTGGGATTATAGTGAGACAAAGGTTAATGCAGCAGTGCTCACTGTTGAAAATGAACTATACAACTTGTGGATGGTGATGGAGGGAAAAACTGAGCGAGAAGGAAGGGGTGACATTATCCAAAAAGAAATGTGCTCTTTACCTGATTTATGTAACTGCAACCCCTCTGTATATTGCCTTTATAATAACAATTGAAAAATCTTTTTTAAAAAATCGTGGTCATAGTTGTAAAGGAAGGAGAGGGTAAACCATGGAAGAGAATATGTAGTATTTCCAACAATTACTCACTCAGATGTGCATTTATAACTGTGCATGTTAGCAGAATGAGCTCCCTTCCCATAGCTTAGTCCACTCCTTCCCTTCTCTACAGCTTAGCATGCTCCTTTTGTAGACAACACTAGGCCCATGTAGTAAAGGCAGTAAATAATCAGCCTCCAACCCTCTATACCTTGGGATGGCACTCCTCTGGGACAGCTACTACTATATAAGGCAACAAGAGCCCCTTCAGGTCTGGGCAGTTGCAGGACCCTTTATCTACCATTTGGACAGCAGCCATACATCCTAGTCCGCCATGATGAAGCCCCTGGCCCACTCGTCCACACCAAGGTCTCCGCCTCCTAGCCCCTTCTAGCCCCTCCTAAACCACCTAGGTTATATAGGTCACTCAGAAAATAGCTGGTGCTTCTTCTCAATTCTCCCTTGGGAGAAGGAGTCTTGCAGGCCCCCTTTCTCAGCAATAAACCTTTCTTTATTCTTTGTACTGGATGTCTGCGTGGTTCTCTGGCAAAGTCTAATTAATCTTTTATTTAAGCTTTCAGTGCACTTTTCTGTTCCTATGTCAGTAATATAGTGGCCTGGCCTACAAAGACAATGGTGTGGCCTGGCCTGGCCTTGTGTGGAGTGATTTCTACAGAGCTGGATTCCCATCAGGGTAGCACTGCAAGCAGGGTTCTCTGAATCCATACTCTCTCCCATGCCCAGCTTTAAGCCATTCATACTTTGAGAGGAAACCCAATAAGGAAGAGGTGGAAACAGATGACTTGAGTATGCTGGAGCCAACCTGGATCCAGCGGAGCAATTGCAATTAAAGATCGTTCCCTCAGAGCTAATTGCTGACACACTGCCCCTCCCCCTGCCCGCATTGTTCTCCCTGCATATCTCACCCAGACCCCAAGCACTTGTGATTCAAGACCTCCAGCCCACCTTTGGAGTTTCTTCAGAATGGACAGCCAAACCTAAACTGATGGATCAAACTGAACTTTACAGCCTGGGCCTACTCCTATGGGCCACAATTTGAAAGTTCCTATACCAGTCTGTATATTTCCTCTAAAATTACCTCAGTCTGCCTCCATGATGCCTAAAAATAACTTACCTACTCACTCAATGAACATGTCTGAATGCATGCATTTGGTGTGATACTGTCAGCTCATCATGTCTGTGTGTTCATGTTCATTCTAGTGATAGTATAGATTTGACTGTGAAAGGGTCATTCACTTGTTCACCATTGAACCCCACTTCTAAGCCCAGACCTTCTCACAACAGATTTAGGAAGGAAATAGAAATACAACAGAGGTGTTACTGTGGTAATAAATAATTATTGAAGATCTATTTGTGCCAGATCCTGTTACGGATGCCAAGGGACCAGTGAACGTGCAAAACAACAACAATACACACACACACACACACACACACACGCACTTCTCAACAACAACAAAAAAGTTCCTAAAGAACTCAAATTCTAGTGGATTGAAGACTGAGAGATTAAAAAAAAATAGCATAGCAGGTAAAATGGAGATGAGAATTACAGAGAAAAATTAAGTGGAGCCAAAAATAAGGAGCTGCTAAAGAGTGAGCTGACACTTTCTGTGTGGAAGGCATCATTGAGAAGGTACTATTTGAGCAAGCCATGGAAAAGTGAAAGAGAAAATCCATGGCCAGCCAGGAAGCAGCATCCCAGGGAGAAGAAACAGTGGATGTAAAGCCATAACACACAGCTCATGCCTCAGCTTTACAGAAGTCTTCCGATAGAATCACATTTCACTAAGAATAAAAGCCACACCTTAACAATGGTCTACAATGACCAGAGTGATCTCCCTGTCACCTCTCCTCTTAGTCTCTAGGTGACCATGTAGATTGTAGTTTCCAGAGGACATCAACCCATACGTGTCCATGCCAGCCCCCACCCCACACCAAACCAGAACCGCTTACCTTGGCCCTGCTGCCCCTTAAGGAGCAGGAGGAGTGTGAGGGTAACAACTTGCCCCAACATCCTCACAGGACTTGGGGGTCAAATGCACTCCTCTTTGCCTTAGGTGCTCAGCTGTGCATGGACTCGGCAGCTACCCGTCAGCAGGAAGACGATGGGGACAGAACTGCCTTGCTGCCTGTCCAGCCACAATTTCCTCAACTCAAGGCTGATCACTTCTGTTGTGAGCTGACAAGGGCACTGAGAAAGCCTTAGTCTCTAGACCTGGTTTCCAGTTCCCACAACTAAGCTAGTAAACTTGGCCTCAAGTAGGCAGGTGCTACAATGACTCACAAACCAGCCTGCTTGCTTTACTCAAAAAAAAAAAAATAGCTGGCCAAGAAATATTGTAATGACCTTCATCCTGCTGGTAATAATGAAGAGAGCCACATGAGAACTACACTATACTATCCCAGACTGTCCCAAACCAATGGTACATTATGAAAGTAAAAGGGAAACAGTTTAGAGCGAGCTGAAAGCAAAGTTCAGTTTGAGTGGGTGCTAAAGTTGAAGGAGAAAAATGGGGGGGGGATGACTTAGGAAGGACCTAAGGTGTGGCAGTAGTACAATAATCTAACAAGCCTGGGGATTCTATGAGAGTTAATACCAAAAAAAAATATTGGGGGGCGGGGGAGACCTTGAACTCAGGACCTGAGCTTCTTTATGTTCAAGGCTCACTTGAGCGACAGCTCCACTTATATCATTTTTGGTAGTTCAGTGGATATAAGAATCTCATAGAAGCCAGGCGCTGGGGGCTCACGCCTGTGATCCTAGCTACTCAGGAGGCTGAGATCTGAGGATCGCGGTTCAAAGCCAGCCCAGGCTGGCTTTCCATGAGACTCTCATCTCCAATAAACCACCAGAAAACCATAAGTAGCACTGTGGCTCAAGCAGTAAAGCACTTGCCTTGATCTGAAGAGCCAAGGGACATTGAGCAGGTCCAGAGTTCAAGCCCCATGACCAACCAAAAAAAAAAAACTCATAGATTTTCCTTCCCAGGTTGGTTTTGAACATCATTCCTCAGATCTCAGTCTCCCAAGTAGCCAGGATTACAGGTGTGAGCCACCGGCTTAATACCAAAATTTTTTTATTTTTTTAAATTTTTTTTGGGGGGTCCGGTCGTGGTGCCTGAACTCTGGGTCTGGGCGCTGTCCCTCAGCTCTTCAGTTCAAGGCTAGTGCTCTGCCACTTGAGCCACAGCACCACTTCCGTCTTTTTCCTTTTTGCTTATGTGGTGCTGAGGAATCGAACCCAGGGCCTCATGCATGCAAGGCAAGCGCTCTACCACTGAGCCACCTTCCCAGCCCCTTAATACCAAAATTTTTAAGGCATGCAAATTACATTATTTTCAAAAGAATTTGCTTTTGCTCCTAGTCTATCTGTAACTCTAGGTTCCCTCCATTCAACTTTCAGTTCCTTCCTTTCAGCTCCATCTTTCTCTTTTCCATCCTTTGGTCCATTTGTAGTTATTTTTATCTAAGTCTGGGCAAGGGTGAGGCAGATGAAAACCCTTGGCTGCCAGTGGGGGAGTAGTGGTATTCTGAATGAAATTTGGTTGGAGTCAATACTAGGACATCAGTTCCAGTTCAGTAACTTAAACCTGCAAATTATTGAACAAGTCACTGAGTCTTCAAGATCAACAATACTACCAGGTGCTGATGGCTCATGCCTGTAATACTAGCTACTCAGGAGGCTGAGATCTGAGGATTACCATTCCAGGCAAGTCAGGGTATATAAATTGAAGAGAATTATCTCCAAATAACCAGCAAAAAGCTGGAATTGATGATGGGATTCAAATGGTAGAGCACCAGCCTAGAGAGAGAGAGAAAAAGAAAGTGAAAATGCAAGCCCTGAGTTCAAGCCCCATTACCAACACACACACACACACACACACACATATAATCAACACTTGTCTGGATTTCTTCTCAAGACAGGTTTTAAAATCAAATTAACAACTATCCCTGAAAATATGCATACAAAACTCTGGTGCAATGGCCAGAATGTTTGTGTGCACCCAAAATGCTTATCTTGATATCTACTTACTAATGTGATATTAGGGAAAGAAGTCTTGGAGAAGTGATCAAATCACAAGGGCGGGCCCTTTGAAGGGAATTAATGCTGTGCTCTTGTGAGGACGGAGCAGTATGCCAGCAGTCTGTACCCCAGATGAAGGCCCTCACCAGAACCCACCATGCTGACACCTTGATTTGGGGCTTCCAGCTTTCAGAACTATGAAATTTATACCCAATTTATAGTCTGTCCTTTTAGACTACGATAAGATGTTGGATTTATTTGTTTTTTTTTAGCCAAGACCTACATAGATTTTTCTAGTAAATATAATGAATATCATCTCTTCTCTACTTTATCTTACTCCCTAGGCACTTCTTCAGGGTTGATCTGACAATTTTCTTGACTTTGAAAAGTCATACTCAAATGCTGAAAAAAAGAGTAAATTCCTCACATGGCAGATGAAAGATGAGGTCCAACTGTTGGAAGCAAGAAATGAACATGAGGGGCTGGGAAGGTAGCTCAGTGGTAGGGCGCTTGCCTTGTATGCATGAGGCCCTGGGTTCAATTCCTCAGCACCACATAAGCAAAAAGAAAAAAAAGCCAGAAGTGGCGCTGTGGCTCAAGTGGTAGAACGCTAGCCTTGAGCTGAAGAGCTGAGGGACAGCGCCCAGACCCAGAGTTCAGTCCCCACGACCTGACCAAAAAAAAAAAAAAAGAAATGAACGTGAATTAGGAATCTGCTTCAGCCATCTTGACCTTCATACTAGCTTCATCCTCTCTCCTATGCCTGTAGATGACTTAGAATCCCCTTGAAACTGAACTGGGAATTATGGTACCTTCTGTGTCTGTCTGTCTTGTGGTCCTTAATAAGCTCTACCACATAATAAATATTATCATTTTTCTATATATTGCCTTGTTTAGCTCTTCAACATAAAATGTATACTCTCTTTAACTTAAATGTTTCTAGAGCCTAATTCAGTGTCTGGTTCTTCAAAGTAAGTTAATGGATTAGTAAGTACTGAAGGAATGAATTAATTTCTTAGAAAAGGAACTCTTATTCCTACTGAGAAATGGTGCTGAGTTAGGTGGGTACTGATAGCTCATACCTGTAATTCTAGCTACTCAGGAGGCTGAGATCTGAGGATTGAGGCGGAAAGTCTATAAGACTCTTATCTCCAATAAACTACAAAAAAAAAAGCCAGAGGGGCAACGCGGAGTGGAGCGACGGCGGCTGGTGGCAGCGATCCTCGAGCGGGCGACGTGGAAGAAGATGCCTCTCAGCTCTTCTTCCCTAAAGAGTTTGAAACAGCTGAGACATTTCTAAATTCAGAAGTTCATATGCTTCTGGAGCATTGAAAGCAACAAAATGAGAGTACAGAGGATGAACAGGAACTCTCAGAGGTCTTCATGAAGACTTTAAACTACACAGCTCGTTTCAGTCGTTTCAAAAACAGAGAGACCATTGCTAGTGTCTGTAGCTTGCTTCTCCAGAAAAAGCTACATAAGTTTGAGTTGGCCTGTTTGGCCAACCTTTGCCCAGAGACTGCTGAGGAGTCCAAAGCTCTGATCCCCAGCCTAGAGGGACAATTTGAAGATGAGGAGCTGCAGCAGATTCTTGCTGATATCCAGACCAAATGCAGTTTTCAATATTAATCTCCAGATATCACTTTGTTCCTTGGGGGGAAAATGTTCCCAGAAAAGTTCCACCTGTCCAGGGGCTAGATCTGCCCAGAAATTATATTGCAGAAGATAGCTGGGCTTCTTCAGGAGAGGACAGCCTAGCTTGCCACATATGTGGCTATGAGACCATGAGAACCATAGAATTGTGTTGTGGCTTTGCAGGTGTCTGCAGGGCCACCTAAGCAGGCCACTAGCTGGGAGGTTGCAGCAGGGCAGGGTTTAGGCCACATTGTTGACTACCTCATATTGTGTTTGGTGTACCACGTTATTTGTATTTTAACAATTCATGTTAATTTCAATTTTATAGGGGTTTTGGTTTGGGGTTTCTTTTGTATTTTATTTTTTGCCAGTCCTGGGGCTTGAACTCAGGACCTGGGCACTGTCCCTGAGCTGCTTTTGTTCAAGGTTAGCCCTCTTACCACCTGAGCCACAGCACCACTTCTGGCTTTTCGTGTGTATGTAGTACTGAGTAATCAAGCGCAGGTCCTCATACGTGCCAGGCAAGCACTCTACCACTAGGTCACATCCCCAGCCCCAAGAGTTTTTTTTTGTTTTTGTTTTTTGGTACTGGGGATCGAACCCAGGACGGTGCACTTGCTAGGCAAGCACTTTGCCACTGAGCTACATCCAGTCCCAATTTTATAGTTTTTGAACACAGCTTAAAGAACATAGAAAGTGTTATAGGGTAAGAACACTTATGTAGAGGGAAAAGGAAGGAATACACCTGATGAATTTGAATTTCATCATTTGAAAGGACAAGTTGATTTTCTATCCATGTGACTAACCCAAGAGATAGATAGGAAGCCTGTCCTAGGAAGTATAGTGGGATGACTGTGGTATATGGCCCTGGGCCCCTTAGCCTTGAAGCACAAATACATCTTTGGCTGTCTTGGAGTATGTAGATTTGGATTGGCTCTCAAGTTAAGATTTTCCTTCATAGGCCAGGCTAAAAGGTGTAAACACTTTGAAATTTCCTCCCATGTGTTATCTAGTTTCTATCTCTGTCCTTCTACAGGGTTCTATGATACAGTGATATGGAGGGAAGGTTTCTAAGTGGGGGAGATACAAATACCTAAACATTCTGGCTTTGATTTTTTTCTGAAGGGAAATATATGTCTTCCTCACAACTTGGGATCTTTCTTTAAATTTATTTAATCATTTGTTCCCTCTAAAACTGAGATAGAATCCTTCTGCCTATTCAGCAAATACTGAGAAAAGAACAAATTTTGCTTTTAGAGTCATGATAGTCAGGTGCTCATGCTACTCAGAAGGCTAAGATGTGAGAATCATGATTCAAGACTCAGGCATGAAAGTCCTCAGACTCTTCTCTCTACTTAATCACCAAAACTGGAGGTGGAGCTGTAGCTCAAGTGGTAGAGCTCTATCCTTTAGCACAAAAGCTCAGGGACAGTGGCCAGACCATGAGTTCAGAACCAGGACCCCAACCACCCACTTACACAGGGATAATTTTAAGAATCAGGATAGGCTTATATTTGTGACCACCTATGGCAAGAACATTCTTTATAAATCTTCCAGTTCCTTTTAGGTTGTTTTGGTTTGTTTGTTTGTTCATGGGATTTGAACTTGGGGCCTAGTCATTATCCCTGATTTCTTTTGCTCAAGGCTAGC